ACACATGTAACTAGCCATTGGTAATTAACCATTGAATTGCTAAAACAGTACACAATTTTGCTTCACAAATATTTAGATTTTGCTAACCTTTAAATTTATTGTTATATGCCTTCCATTATTTTCAGGTTGAAAATCATAAGCAAATGAGTTATTAGGATATTTTGTGCATTGGCTCACTAGAGGTTCCATTCTCCCTTCATTTCTTCCCTTTGTTCCTTTAAATTGAAAAGAAAGAATCAGATGCAAACAAATACTAGTTTAAGTTCAGAAGCTACATCATTGGATATATTAAAGAATCATCCATAAGCATTGCACATTTCAATATTTTCATGATCTAATCTTTAGAGGAATCTCAATTATTGAGGAAACCTCAAATGAGTCCTTTCAATTTTTTGTTTAGTTGTACAACCAGAAGTAGTTATATTTTTTATTAAAAGATTTTCCTACCTAAAGAAAACCAATATTGAACTTTAAAAATTGCTAAAGATTAAAAAATTTAGAAGCAAGCCTCCAACTAGATTCCATTCAAAATTTTATATGATACAGTCAACCTTGATAATGCTTGCACTCTTGGCCTTTTGAACTTTGGCTGTAGATTCTCGTTGATACATTGCACTTTATTTTAATTCATTTACTAGATTCTCCTGTATTCATTGACAACAGAAAATATTCAATGAGGGCGGTGGAACTTTATAAATTCATAAAATGGGTAAAAGCTTTTGATTAATTTTTTTGATAAGCATGATAATAAAAACTTTATTTTGTTGTAAGAAAGAAACTTAAACATGCATAGGTTCACCACAAAAGTATGTATCATCCCCCTTATGAAAAAGAGTTAAATCTGGTAAACTCTCTTAAAATTGTACTTGGACCACTTAACTTAAAAGTGATTGATTGAACAATTGTGTTCTTTTCCTAGATAGAATCTTTTTACTCCATCATGAACATTAAGATGTTAATCAACAAGATTGTTCCTAAGCCCTGGATCAACTGGAAACCCATCTAACTCAATATCCAAATGAGTATTCTTGGCCGCTATTGCTGTCATCTGGCAAATTTAATGACTCTTCATGATTTGTCTTTTCCTTGTACTATCAATTAGTTACACAATCAAACTAGGTAATATGTAATTAAGGGTGTGTTTGATAAAATTAAAGTTTGAAAATTGAAATGTAAAATCTGAATTCTGTTTCCATTAAGTTATTGAATTGTTAAATATTAAATCAAATACACTTGAGTGTATATGATATTTAATGATAAGTGAATAACTTATCACTTATTTTTGGAAGCAAGTTTTGCCTAGAAAATTCAGTGCCACTTAATTAATTCAGATGTTCAATTTTTTATTATCAAACTCGTCTGAATATATTAAGATATGAATCCATTAAATTTAAGTGCTGAGTTACGTTATCAAATAGGGCCTAAGAAAAGTATAGAAATCATGACGTGGAGAATAGATGTTTTAATTCTCTTTTGTGTTTTTCCTTGTGAGAGTTTTTTAAGTTTTATCTTTGTGAAATTTGAGATTTTATAGATCTAGAATCTAGTTTCTTAGATCTGCAATTTCTTCGTTATTGTCAGATTTGAATTTCTCTTTGGACTTGAATCAGTTTTAATCAGATTTGATTGTCAGCAAACATGCACTGATGTATTCAGCTACAGTGATTCATCCGAATGGAAGATATATAGGAACATCAATGCTATCTTTATTTATATTTTTTCTTAGATTTGTTATATTTATTAATTGCAGATCTATATGTATTTATGTCATGTTTGTTTGATGTATTTCCTGCAATTAGTGCAGATTTGTTTGAATAAAATGACCTTTTCCATATATATGAAAAAAAGAATAGATGTTTTAATTTGATAGTTGACACTTATTACTTAACCAAGGGAATTGGTCTTTTAAGATAAATTTGGTTAATAATACAGTAGCATCTTTTCAATCTTGGGCCGCGGTTGCAGAAATTTTTTTGGATTAATTACATTTACTTTTTTGAAATTCGGGCAAACTAGTGATGAGGCTCCATAGTTTGCCCAAATTACAAAACAAAACGTCAAATCCCAAAGTTGTAACGTATTCACCCCTGCCGTCACTTAATTTACTTTCAAACATTTATTTTGAGTGATATCAGCAAATTTATACAATGAAAGCCCTAAAATGCCCCAAAGCCGATTTCTTTTCTTCTATTTCTACCTTTGGCTGTTTCCTTTGCCATTTTCTTAATCTTAACATATAATTATTCAAACTTTTATTTAACGAGGGAATGGAAGATTTTATTGCTATTATTAATTTTTAGATCCCTCCTTTCCTCGTTTAAGTGGCCATCAATTTCTAATTCGATAGTTAAGTTTGAAAAGAATAATAAGGATACTTTTATCACTTCAGCCCCTTAGTAACTGAAGCATGGATGAAGATAGATGTAATTTGATCAAATCACAGAGATTGATTACTAGTTTGGTTAAATCTCAAGGGAAGTAAATGTAATTAACCCAAAATTTTCCCCAAGGGTTTCTGCATTGTGCTTTTGGTTGAAGTTGAACTACCCAATGATAGGGAAAAAAATAAAAATAAAACTTGATTGCAATTTTGACATCCTCAATTTTCATAAATTGCTGGGGAATTGCATTTAGTTCTGTCTTATTGCACTTTGGGACGTGATGCATCTACTCTGACGAATAGTATTTGCTTAACTGGTTTGTTTGGATAGGGTATTACTTGAAATATTATTTGGAATAATTACTGTAGTACTTTTTGTGATGTGATATCTTATAGATAAAAAGGTGGTTGGGAATATAAAAAGGTGGGTTGAACAATATGTTTATGATGCAAGCGAAATATTATTTGGGATAAGTTCACTATCCAAACAATTTTGTTTTTTGTGCATGGATGTACAAAAACAGTAAATTATTTTCACCTAAGTGATACTTATTCAATTTTGATCTCATTGAAGTGACTTGAATACACAAACTGTTTTACTACTACTTGGTTAATTTATTTTATTTTATTTTTATACTGGAATTTGATTTGCCTGAAATTATCTAGATCACCATGCTGCTATAGTGATGGCATTCCTTTCCATTTTTTTTGCCATTAAACCTAATAAATGGGAGAAACTTTTCCTCAATGATCAGTAATGGTACAGTATGGGGTGCCATTATAATATCAAGTGCTTCCCTTGTAAACCTCAAAATCAATTCATAATCTCGTGATTAATATACAATTTCTGAATATACTTTATTAGATTGATTTGTCTTCAGTCCTATAACATGTATTCCAAGCATTAGATGGCTAACAGAACACTTATAAGAACAAAATCAGTTCTCCACTACCACTTACTCATGAATGATCAGGGCAAACGTCTCCATTTAAGTAGGATGCTTAGATTGCACAAATGTAGCACTAGAGTTCTTTAAAAATTAAGGGAAAATGGAATGGCATAAAATAGCCAAAAAAATGAAAAAGAAAAAAACAAACAGAGGTTTGTGGGTTTGTGAATAAACCCTTCCAACATCAATCTGTCAAATATTTTGCTTTGGTACAGTATAAAACCAATATGCACTCAAAATTCTATTTGTTTTTTTGGCTAATAGAGTCTACTCTTTTGATCTCTTGTATCCATGGTTCGGGGTTGTTCTACATCCGTCGTGGGATGTCGGTTGGATATCGAGTGATACGCACATTATACTACATAAAAATTTTTAAAAATTTTGAAAAAATTACTAAAAATAGAAAATACTATAACAAGCACAATTATTAGATTATATTTGTTAAATACCTACATTGTCATATATATATATATATATATATATATATATATATATATATATAACCAATGACCTATAGCATTAAAAGTAAATCATTTTAGCATTAAGAACACCTTTTATTCCTATTTTATATGACATCAAAAGTTAAATGTAAGATTAAAACCATTATATTTTATACAACATAATATTAATCCTACTCCAACTGATGATAACATATAAATGAAGAAATTTGTTAAACAAACCATAAATCCAATCTAAGTAATTATATTGTTAAGCATACGTAACACAAATTTGCAAATCACATAACAAAAATATTATATATTAAATCTTGAAAAAATAGTAAATTATAAATAAAACCTTTAACAATTTCAAATAAATGAACAAATTAATAAAACTCAATTAACAAACCTTTGCTCAAATAGCTGATCTGCACTTCCATGGAATAAGCCCAATAAAATTCATTTGTAAAATCCACCTTCAAAATGTCAATTCCATGCCGTTGAAAGCCCATATATTTGAAAGTTGAAAAGCCCATATTTTCCCTTATTGTCATGTTAGCATCAATCTAAGTCTTTAACCCTAACTCCTTTATATTGACCCGTCAAATTAGCATCAGTAGTCATGACTACTATGTTGCATCTTCCTTATCGACTGTCAAATCTTAAGCCTTTTTCTCCCTTCCCTTCCTTTCCCTTTCCCATTACTAATGGTAGGGATGGGATTCAACTCACACATGATTGTTGGCTACTGCTAGGAAAATGGAGATGGGCTTGACTTCTAGACAGATGAGTGCATAACCTTTCAATTATTAGGTGTTCAATTTTTCAGTAAAAGTTAAAAACGAAGAGGTAAAACAATATAGCAATGATAGAAAGCAATTGTCGTTGTGAACCGTTGGAAGTGGCACCAATTTGTTTCATCTAAAATGGTAGGGTCATAACTCTCTATTTTTACAAATTTTTGTTTGGCATTGCTTGATTCCCGAATCGATTCTGAGTTGGCTCGAAGATTGGGGTCAATTCTAGGCATTACAGCTTCTACTCGGTCATTGGCTGAGTTAGAGTGAGTCACTGTGGATATGAATTTATTTGCAATTCAAGAATCGGTATTGTAACGAACTCCACCGTTCCGTTATGACTCGATCGAGTCGTGTCAGACTCGGCCGAGTCGAGATGGCTAACAACGCGAGTAGCATATGCATTTTTCAGAATAAGACAATGTAAGATTCTTAATAAGAGAAAGAATATGAAATCTCCATCAAGCTAAATCCCAATCAAATGGGAAATAATCTTTATAGAAACAAAAGATTCTTGTGTTGACGAAGTAAAGAGTGTAATAGCAATTCAAAACAGTTTAGTGATTTCCCTACTAATGCCCTTCCGTAAACCTTTGCCACAGGGATAGCAACTGAAAGCAGTTTTCCACCCTTCCCCTCTCCCATCCTACTTTCAATCACTTTTCATCAGAGAGATGATCATTGCACTGGGTTCTGAGCAGCTAAATAACTGAGATATTTGAGACATGGCAAAGAAATAACAAATAAATAAGTATATTAAATAAAAACATAAAAAACAATTATTTTCTCATCAGAGTGCTAGTTGCTCTAATCAAATCTCCTTAGCTATTTCCCTAACAGAGCTATAAAGAAGGCTCTAAGGTCACTTACCCCCAAACCCAATATCTGGTTGGTGATTCGACCTTTTCCCGTCCATTCAAATGCGACCCCTTCTTCTCATCTTCCTTCCCTCCCCATTGCAAACATCTTTGCAGCTGCTCCCCTCTTTTGGCTACTGAAGGAATGGCAAAGAGAGACACATAATAACAAGGTAGCCTCAGCAGGGTGCTTTTCTTGCTCCTTTTGAGACATTTTCCTTTTGTTCAGATAATTCATTTGAGTTCCAATGCAGGATTCCAGGCCTCTTTAGCTTTCTAGTTGGCCTCTAAAGGCAGTCCCAAGCAAGAAGTTGATTCCATGTCATCGTACTTAATGAAGCAATGGAGCTCAAAAGTGATGAATGGTTAAACAATGTGCCCAACTACGAATGTGAGCATGGGTGTTCTATTTGTACAACCTTGAGACTTCAGGATCAGTGATTTTAGACCAACACGTTAGACAAGAAGCAGTAGTAACTTCAAGAATCACTATCATAATGTGGATGCATAATTCTCTAAAGGTGGAGAAAACGGGGGTACCTGAAGGAGATTTTATATAATCTGAGCCAACCAAGCTGCATAGAAGTTCAAGTTTGATATTGTTGTTGGCTATGTACCTCAACATGGTGGCAGATTAGAGCAAAGGAATTCCAGAAATCAGACTCAAACATCTCTAGATGATTACTCGATACTTGAGCTTGCAGAACCTGATTACTTCACCATAAATCGATCTTAAGCATAACTATCTACCTGCTATGATTTGAAGTACTATATCTTAATGATCCTGCTTCAAAGGAAGAGAAAGAAAAGAATATCACAGTAACTCGCTAGAAATAGAGCCAGTATAATGTAATAAAATGAACTAAGATATACTTAAGCCAGGCTACTTTCTTAGGCTTTCTAATCCAAAAATAGTATCCACAATGTATCACATAACACTTGCTTTCTGCACTTGCAAAAACGTAGTGTTCAAGATGCATCAAGAGATAAAAAATAATCTCCTAAAGCTCCATCAAAGAAGAGAATAAAACTCAAGATAACTTTCTCTATGGAATACCAAATATGCATAACAACTGAAGAGAAGGAAAAAGAACTTAAATTTACAATAATAGAAGAATGCAGGGATAATACTTTTAATTTGAGAACCAACAGGTGCTCTCAACGTACAGCTTCTAAATAGAATACTTAGCTCAGAACTGACATATTTGAGTTCAATCGGTCACTAAAGCGAATACCACGGCAAAACTGAGAATCTCTTGAAAGGCTACCTCAAGCAAGAATACATCAACATACTGGACAGAATGAAATGAGAAAACCTGAAAAGTACTAGGTACGGTATACATAATTAAAACTCTGCTCAATCAGGAAAAGTGAATGTATTCTAATGTTCAAGTGGTGAATCCAAATTTTAATAACTAATTTATAGAAATAAACATTGAACAGCTTATTTTCTCAGTTATATTAATAGAAGATTAGCTCATCTTCTTCTGTGATTGTACCTAATTTTTGACTCCTCAACTTCAGAAATAGAACAATCACCTTGAGCACTTAAGATGACAGGGATACTAAAATATAATAAATGCTTGTCAAAATCATCATTTGCATTGACAACTCTCTCTCTCACTTCCAAGGATCCATATTTGGCTGATGAAGACTATTTACTTTGCCAATTACTCAAATATGTCAGAGAAACCAAAAGCACAAGCATTATGGGTCAGACTGGGAAGTTCCAGCAAACCTATCTAAGTAACAGTTGTTTTTCCTCATCATGTCATCTGATCTAAAGTGAATATGAGGAATATCAAACTTGTATGCTTAAAAGGTAATTATTTGAAATAATAGCTGAAAATGTCAAAAAAGATTGTGTACACATACTCAGAGAAAAGAGAATTTTCCACCTTGTTTAAAGCTATACAAATTTAATACATGATGCAGAATCTGCTTGAGAATGAAGCAGCACCATGCACACCCAATTCCAACAAATTAATTGACTGTTGTTGAGTGGCCAAGATAACCTGTCTAAAAACACAGATTTTTCATACGAAAAGTGCTGGTCTTTTTAGCAAATACATGAATATTGCATTTGTGAAGAAATGCAGACATCAGAAATGAGGGAATTGAATCCGTCTATGGAAATTTTTTTATGAATTTTTTTATATGAATATATGAATTACTTTGCTTCATTGATAACTGCTTAAAATTTTTTTATCAGCAGGGTACTTGAGCACATATTATCCTGGATAACTGTCATTTGAGATCTTCTCTAGGATTTGGGTTGAGCAACTTCATGAATAATCTCTTCCCAAGTCCACCAAAGCAACATAAAATTATTCAAATTTATGAGCTGCTTATTTATTTATTTATTTTTTCATTGTCAATGCCTATTAAATATTATACCACACTCCAATTTAGTGCTCTAAAATGGAGAGGGATAATAAAACTCATGAAGGTTTCTTATGGAGGACTGGTAGAGCCACCCAGATGCTGTGACAATCTTTATCAATCTCAATATATGACTAGTGAGGCATTGTACCACAATTACAGAAATGCCATAAGTGTCCCCATGGTGCCCCAACCAAAAAAGAAGTTAGTCAGCAATCTACCAGGTACTTTAGATATTACTTGTCTTAAAGGTCCATGGATTTTTCTCTCCGATTTCTCTGCAATGAAAGCCAGAAATTTGAAAATATCCAGTAAGTTTTGTCTAGTCAGGACTCAGGAGATGTACATAGGTCCGAATTCCTTCCTCAGTTAACATGGTAAAGTCCTGCCAGAATGAAACTTAAATAATCATGAAAACTACTCAGACAACTCAAGTTTGACGGATTTACCTCATACTGTCAAGAACTGCTTTCAGAACAAACTTCGTAGCGGTACACGAAACACCAACCGAATCTCGAATTCTTGCAACTACGAAAACAGCCACCTTTACCTTCTATTCCATCATTTCTGCCAGAAGGAACAAGGTCAGTGACATATCCAATGTGCTTTTCTGTTGCCTCAAAATAAAGATGCTCTATAGCATGCTTTTTTGTTTACCACAACATTTTCTCTCTTCCAAACAGCAGTTGTAACCATTCCACAACTAGAACAGAAGCTACTATAAAATCAAAGATGCTTAAAATGGCAGATAACCACCCTTCGCATAACCATGTAAAATGGCAGCATCACATGGAGTTTCAAGATGCACATCTCATTTTGACCTCTATATGATCCCTCTTCAGTGAATATTTCAGTCAGACTTAAGCTATTAAGCAATATTCAAATTACCTGAAAAAATACACTATGTGGTTTGAAAATAAATTGCTCTATTAGAGTAGAGATATATTCCTAGGCAAAGCCAATTTCATCCTCTGGATTACAAAGAAGAGGAATTAGAACGAGGCAATGAATTCTAAACTACTAAATTCAGTCAACATCCTTCTTTCAGTAATGGAACACTTTGGTTTCTAGAATGTTAGATATCAAGCCGATGATACACAGAGAATTCCAATGGAATGAGTTTCTGAATCTGGTACAAGATACCTTAACTTAATGTTATGGTCAGAAAGGCCTGATTAAAGCACAACTCTCCTTCTATACAGCATTATTAGGACAGATATCCCATGTGCCTTGTATATTCTAACAAATCCACCCTGACTTGCAGAGCCTATAATCAGGGAGTTGTTACCACCTTTAAGCATCAAAGAGTATAATTTAAATAATAAAAAAAAAGATGCTTGTTTCTTACCGGTTTCCATAGCAGAATTACATCCATTCAGGTAAAGACAGCCTCCACGAATTCAAAATGAATATATGATTAATATATGCGTTTTACTAAAATACCGAGAGGAGTAGAAGATCCAACCCAGCAGAATAGTGAAAATTCCACTTTCAGTGCTAAACCGAATTTTAAGATCAACGTCAAACTTAGCAATAATCACACAATTAACCATTTCTTTTCTTGAAACTTGACATTCTTAATTACTCAAGCCCAGAATAGTGTACCAGCATAAGTTGGCACACAGCAAAAGATGAAGATAAGCAGATAGGAGTTTTCAATGACACACACGCAGGACCAGCAAAAGAAAGACCAAACAACAAAATAACACCATGAATTGAAGGTCATAAAATGAAAACTTTTACAAGCACACAGGAAAATTTTAGTCCACCAGTTTATTTATCTATCAAAAAGGCATTCAACACTCTAAAATTCTCAAAGGCATCAAGCTCTACATGTCGATTAGACCTTAGATTGAATGTAAAATACTTCCATAAAAGGACACAAACTGTTCAACAGTGTGAGCAAACCATAGTTAATAAAAAGAAACATGTATACCAATTAATAAGCTGTCTGGGGCAATATCTAGTAGTAAATTACAATCCACTCATTTAAAACAGCACCACAAACAAAATAATTTTTCATTGCAACTAGAATGAAAAGTACATGAGAGCCAAATGGAACAAGCACATCAAGATCTGGGATACCCTGCCACAAAACTAAACTAAAGCATAATAATGGGGAAAATATCAGACAATATCTCCATAGTTGCAAACCAAAACCTTAAGTTGACAAATAACCTAAAGGAGATAAAAAAGAAATAAACTGTCCAAGACAAGGGAGATAAAGTCCTAGTCTAATCACTTGAAGATCCGTCATCATCTTCGCGTGCTGTCACAACCTTCTCTATAAACCTCTTCCTAACTCCATCAAGAACGTCTTTCTTAGACTGTTCACCCCCACCCTGACCATCATTGAGAATTGGATCCGACTGACAGAGAACTAATGCAACACCTAAAGATTTGGAAATGCAGTTTATGAAATCAGTCAGAGAAAATAGCAGATTCAATTTACAAAAGATTAAAATAGGGAATCAAATAGTTATCATATTCTCAGTCCCTCCGCTAGTTAATCCTAATCTAAACAAAAACAATAAGAACCATGAATATTCCATAAAACACAGGTTTCAAGGCAATATAGACATCAACTTCCATTAGAAGATATCAAGAGTTGCAGAAGCCTAAACTTCCAACATACCTTCAGGTGTGCATTTCCGACCAAAGCTACGGAGACCCACATAGTTTGCTTTGACTGCACTGTTGTTGTACACCAAAAGAGTTGGAATATTTTGATCAGGATAGTTAGGAATACAGTCAGTAGATATAATTTTCACAAACTTGGCTGCCGGATATCTTTGAGCCAGTTCTTCCAAACATTGCAAAAGAAGCTGGCAATCGGCGTGTCTATCAGAAAATGTGTAGTGTTAAACAATCTAGTACCTCCAACATAAAAAGTTGCTAAATTTTGAACCAATATTTAAAAAATTTAACATCACCACAAAGATAATAGTGAAGAGGAAAACAGTGCTTAATAAGTTATAATTACCCGTCCTTGTAAAGAACCACCACAACCCAAACATCTGCTGGTGCTTGTGAAACTTCTCGCACAAAATCAGATCCAGAAATCGGCATCACTGACCCAAACCTCGCAATTTTGGCTAATTCTCTCATCTCTGCCAACCTCTTCTTCCTTTGCAAAGCACCAAAACACGTATTAGCTTCCACATTTACTGAAACCACACTAATTCAAAAGCTCATTTTTCTCAAGATGCACCTAATTTTTCACCTCAATTACTGAAGAACTAAGTTCCACAACTGTTACCTAAATTCAAAATCTCTTTAGATGGGGAATAATTCCAATATAATCCTAATTACCAAGAAATTTAAAAAATGAAATTAACTTTCAATCCTTAGTTACTGAAATCCCAATATATGTATGAAGACAATTCAACGACCAAATACAGGAAAATCAAAAGGCCCACCACCCCAAAAAATGAAAAAAGTTAAAAGGTACCTGTACTCTTGGAGGAAGCGATCATCGTCAAGATCATCTTCAAGGTCTTCAAGTTCTTCTTCGGTCTTGTCATCGACCCAGGCCTTGTCTTTGGGCTTTGAGTCGGGGTCTTCGGCTGGGGTGAAAGAAGGGGGCTTGAAAGCAGGGGGTTTGGGAGGAAGGTTCCCTAATTTTCTCTGGATATCGTCCCATTGCGTCGAGGCACCTTCCAGATCCTTGTACACAAAATGGTAATCTGCCATTATTTTTGTTGAAAACAATGCCCTTGTTGACAATCCTTATACTCCAACAGATTTAGGAATCCTCACACAAAGTGATCTCCTCCACTATGCGCATTCGTTCTCCTATAAAAGCATGATTAACTGAGTCCATACTCCAAAAAACACAATGCAAAAAACAAAAAACAATGAAACTATATAATAAGACACTTTTAAATTTTTCTCAATTTCAAGTCTATTATTTTTTGTTTTTACTTATAAATTATTTAATTAATCATTTTAATTTCTTTATATCTTATAAGAAGACGTTTGGAGGGTTCCTGTTCATTACAATTTCATCTGCTCTCTTCAGGGCCATTTTTGTCCTTGCAGCCTTTTGGTTGTTCTTTTTCTTGGAGCTAAGACGTTTGGAGGGTTAGTGTTCATTACAATTCGTTTGCTCTCTTCAGGGCTATTTTTGTCCTCCAAGCCTTTTGGCTGTTCTTTTCCTTGTAGCTATTAGAACTGGTTGTTGTTTCTTGCAAGGCTTAGCCGAATGTTAGTGGAACAATGACTGTTTTGCAGCATTTCCAAGAAGTATTAATGAGATGTGATGTTTATATCTATCAGCCAGCTCATTTTCTCTTGTTTAATTACATTTTTGTCCCTCAAAATATTCATTGAATGGACTATATATTTTCAACTCATGTCTAACAGTGTCATTTTACAATAACTTTTACTTTTGGTGTTGGAAATTGGAAAATTGCTTCATGTATTCATGTTCCGTAGCTATTTGTATAAGCCCACAATTTTTTGCTTTATCCTACTACCTTCTGCTTCGTTTATGCTTCCTTTATTCATGCTATAAACTGTAAACCATGGCTTCAACTGATGCACTTGCACATTCAACGAATAAGAACATTGTTCGCAATCGAAGATTAAGAGAAAAATATGCTTCCTTATCAGTGGAAGAAAAAGAAGCTCGTAGAGCTAAACAAAGAGAAGCTTATCAAAAGAGGAGAGGAAGGAAAGCTGCTGCATCCACATCTTCTATGAATCAACAGCAAACTGATGGTATCTAATTCAGTTTTGCCTTTATATTGTGTTTTTGTATGTAGCAGAAAGCAGTAATGCATCGTCTGAAATAAAAGAAGGTGCTTCTCATGCATGCAATACTTAAAAATTTTCTTATGAAAAACCTGCTCACGAGAAAAACATAGATCGAGTAACCGATAACAAATTGCTCCCCAACAAAAAATATATTATAAGAACTAACCATCAGTAAGACAAACTACAATCACACTACTAATCTGGATTGTAGCATACAAAAAATATAATACTAACTGAGCAGTACTTGAAATGTTAATACAGCTAGCAGAGGTGTTGAAATTTAAAACTGTTCCTGCTTCACTTTTCTATATGATTTCATGCTTTAATTAATTAATGGCATTTAATGTTGACATTCTTGTCAAGTTAACAACTAAGATGATGTTTTTCCCAAAAAAAAAAAAAAAAACTAAGCTGATGTAAAATAGTAAACGTGCATACAGCATATAAATATATATCAGCATACACATTTGTTTTTCCCACTAAGATTCCATATTATCCAGCCCGTCAATGCCATGCACCTCTTTTTCAATCACTGACTTATGCTTCTAAATTACTTTCTTCATAAATAAAGAGGCAAAAAATCTTCTCTAAGCAATGTGAATTATGAAAATCTTGTATATCAGGTATAGAACTTCCAGTTGGGTGTGACGCACAGCAAAACAATGAGCACAATAACCAACAGAGTATTGCTGTTAAACAACTTCTGCAACAGAATAGAAACAAAGAGACTAATCTGCAACAATCTATTGCTGTCAAAAGTAATTCTCTGTGCAAAACCAATGGTAAATCAAAAAGCAAGCTGAAAAAGCATGATTTTGTATTTTCGACATTTGAACAAGGTTTGCCTACACAAATTAATTCTGTCTTCTATGTTTACACAAGTAATTCTGTATTCTATGTTTACCTTAATTCTGTATTTTTTTTGCTCTTCTAGGTTCTTCATCAAAAAATTCGTCCAACTATAAATGCAGAAGAATCAATAAACTAAATGTGTCAGGTATATCTTGTTATAATCATATTTATCACTCTATGTTTCATATAACAATTTCTTTGTTTTTATCTGGTAGGTGATCCTCCTATATGCGATAGCTGCTCTAATTTCTTGCATGAAACAGTTGATAATCTTGCAGGTTTAACCCCTTAATACTATTTTTACAAATATTTGCTCAGTGTTGGTTGGTCACTGAATTTGATTTATGTTCTTACACTTTTTTATTTACCTAATCAGGTATATCAATGACAGTACAGCCTCAGCCAGTGGAAACCAATGTTTCTAATGTCATAAAAAATCATCCAAAAGGTATGTATAACTAAAATGTATCTGAAAATGTTACAAAACTTATATGTCCTTATCAGCAAAAAACAGAGATTAGTGTTCATACATTTCATCTGCCCTTATTACTGATTCTTGTAGTAATATGTTCAGAAAATTCATTATATATTAACATTACTCATTCTTATAATTGTATGTTCAGAAAATTGATTACTAAGTCTTTTATCGTTTTTGCAGTGAAAATGTATATAAAGATGAGAACTTTGATGAGACTCAGAGGCAACTACCTACATTACTGGCCTCAAAGATTCAAAGATGCTTTTTTGTTGGAAGTTTTTGTTTTAAAGCCCACTTCTACAGACTGCTCATCTCCTTCATTAATATTTTAGCATTCATTTTATCAGGTTATATAAAATGCATTTGAAGAATAGGAAGCATAAGTTCTTTTTGCTTTCATATGTGTTCATTATTTATAACAAATCTCTATCTCCCCTCTCAGGTCTTTTGTTATTTGAATAAACTAAATCACTCATTGTTGTGATTCCTTGCAGTTGACCTTCTATTCAATGTATCAGAAGATTCAGATTATGTCCGGACTATTCTAGGTAGCATGTTATTGTTGAATTCTGCCTTCTAAATTTGTTAAGTATTTCTATGTATTGCATCTATAAGAAAATAAATCATGGTTAGATAAATACTGATTTTGCACTATAAAGTAGCACTGGTATTACATAACTTAACTATGCATTTCTTTTTAACCATGCCATGCACGTCTTACTTTATTTTCTATTATATACTTTTGTCTCAGCTAAAGCTATAGACAAACGTCCTGACCTCAAAACTAAGGCTGCTGAGTCAAATAAAGCAGCAAAGATTGGATAAGCTTCAGCACTTACAAGAAGTGACAACATTCAAGTAACCCTATACTATTGTATTCAAGATTGGATAAGCAAGCACTTACAAGAAGTGACAACATTCAAGTAACCCTATACTATTGTAATCATGTCTCTCACAATTTTGCCAGCTCTAGAGAATATCAACGTGATGTGATTATATCTACTATCCAATTCATTCTTATAAACCTTATTCCTAATTCTAGAAAATGTTGGTCCAAGTGTATCAGATGTCAAAGCTTCAGAAATTCTAACCTCAACTACTTTAATGCATATGTCACCTGATTATTTAAGCATATGTCAGCTTCTCATGTTTTTGGATAGACCACAAGACATTGCTGCTGTATTTGAGAAACTCTTGAGAACAAAAAGTAAGAATGATGGTTTATTGGGATTTCAAATAGCATTTGACCTTGTAGAGAATGAACACCAAGCTTATCTTTTGAAAATGAGGGACTAACTTTCCAGTCCCAAGAAAGATATTCAGATAACAGAGGGTAATCAAAATTCTGAAAGAAACTATTTATGCTGCGAAGTTACCAGAAATAAAAGGAATGCTGTCTCGAGAGACTTCCATACAGTTGACATTGCAATTCTTATATAGTTATAATAACTAAGGTATTTTTCCTATTTTCTTTTTTTCCCTTCTCCAGATAGTTTCTCAGTTTACTAGATTTCTTTGGAATATTTCACTAATTGTTACCTTTTTGCATATCAGATTGCATTTTGTAATTCTCAGCACAATAAAACAATCTGTTGAGATGAGAAATAATATTTGTCATAATGCAACTATACACACTAATAGCATTATGGATGCCGTCACAACTGTCAACACATTACTCTGCACCTACTTTCCTCATTGTTTTATATGCTGCATAACGATAAAACTTATTATTTCTATCTAACATTTTGTATTTGTTTAAACTATCAGAACTAGGTCACCAGGACTACAAATTGGACTAAGTTTAGCGCAACAGCAGTACAGGTTATTAACAGAGACCATCTACAGCAAGGAAAATCACTTATAGGTCCTTGTCACACAGTGGAGCTGGTGGTGGTGGCAGCTCATATTCAGAAATATAAGCATTGTCTGCTATGAGGAAGGCATGAATTAGTTCCTCTATCATAGTCTAACAAACACTAACGCTGAAGTATTTGTCTTATTGCATTATGTAAAAAAGTACCTATTTTTATCTTTCGACTTTTCTGTCTTTTTTTAAAAATTGTCTCCTACACGTTATTCAGCATAGTACCTACCTTAGCAGTATTGGAAACTCCTAATGAAGATATTTTTCATGATATAAAAAATGTCATGTAAAAACTTATTAAATTAAAAGCTATAATATATTTCTATAAAAGCTGAATGAATTCCATAATCTATTGCTAGAATTAAAAACTTAATGAATTCTTTCTCTTTTTGACAGTTTACGGAACAGAAGAAGCACATTATCGATAAATGTATGCATTAGCATTTGCTTACAATGAAACTGCAAACAACAAGACGATTTGATACCTGCTGCAATGGTGTTAGGTAAACTGCAATTTTGGCACTTGGTTAGTTTGTCTTATGTTTAGGCTTAGCACTGGTTTATGGTTTATGTTCTGGACTATAAGAACTTGACAGCAAAGCTTCGCTTGTCCAAACAACTTTTCATATGATGTCTTTGCTCTTAACTTTTTCTACCCTTATTAGTCATTCTTGTAGATATATGTTCAGAAAATTCATTATATATTTACATTGCTCATTCTTATAATTGTATGTTCAGAAAATTAATTACTAACTGTTTATCGTTTTGCAACAAGAGTGTATATGAACATGAGAACTTTGATGAGACTCACAGCCAACTAGCTATATTACTAGCCTCAAAGATTCAAAGATGCCTTTTTGTTGCAAGTTTTTCTTTTAAAGCCTACTTCTACAGACAACTCATCTCCTTGATTAATATTTTAGCATTCATTTTACCAGGTTATGTAAAATCCATTTGAAGAATAGGAAGGATAAATTTTTTTTTGCTTTCGTATGTGTTCATTATTCATAACAAACCTTTAAGAAAATAAATCATGGCTAGATAAATACTGATTTTGAAGTATAAAGTGGCACTGGTATTACATAAGTTAACTATGCATTTCTTTTTAACCATGCCATACACGTCTTACTTTATTTTCTACTATATCCTTTTATCTCAGCTAAAGCTATAGACAAACGTCCTGATCTCAAGACTAAGGCTGCTAAGACAAATAAAGCACCAAAGATAGATCCAAGATCAAAGGCCATTGTTCAAAGCATGCTTGATAAGTATGTAAACTTCTGAAACACTAGATTATACTATATATTTAAACTTTCTCTCATTATCTCATTTTTGAAACTCCCTCTAGGTATATAATTAACAAAAGATATCAATAACCTGTGAGAATAGATATAAAATACCAGAGATTGGATAAGCTTCAGCAAATACTTATACAAACTGACAACATTCAAGTAACTCTATACTATTGTAATCATGTCTGTCACAATCTTGTCAACTCTAGAAAATATCAGCGTGATATGATTATATCTATTTAATTCATTCTTCTAAACCTTATTCCTAATTCTAAAAAATGTTGGTCCAAGTGTATCAGATGTGAAAACTTCAGAAATTCTAACCTCAACTACTTTAATGCATATGTCACCTGATTATTTAGGCATATGTCAGCTTCTCATGTTTTTGGATAGACCACAAGACATTGCTGCTGCATTTGAGAAACTCTTAAGAGCAAAAAGTAAGAATGATGGTTTATTGGGATTTCAAATAGCATTTGACCTTGTAGAGAATGAACACCAAGCTTATCTTTTGAAAATGAGGGACTAACTTTCCAGTCCCAAGAAAGATATTCAGATAACAGAGGGTAATCAAAATTCTGAAGGAAACTATTTATGCTACAAAGTTATCAAAAATAAAAGGGATGCTGTCTCGAAGACTTCCATACAGTTGACATTGCAATTCTTATATAGTTATAATAAGTAAGACATTTTTCCTATTTTCTTTTCTTTTCTTCCCAAGATGCTTTCCCAGTTTACTAGATTTCTTTAAAACATTTGACTAATTGTTGGCTTTTTGCATATTAGATTGCATTTCATAATTCCCAACACAATAAAGCAATCTGTTAAGAAGAGAAATAATATTTTAGTTAGCACAAGATAAGATGTGCATAATAGTTTAAAAACATGGTTAGTTAGTTCAAAATAAGATCTGAGTACGATCACTCAATGACATTTAGTAAATCAAATTTGATTACAACGAAAAAAATATCAAAGACAAATAGCAAATAGCAAGCATTCTCAATTTCAAATTTTGTATGCTCGGTAACTTTTTCACATGAACAAAGTTCAGTTTTCAGAATTAAATTAGAGGCTGTTTCTCCAAATCTCACATTAACTACTTTACATTCCATATTTACAAGGGGAAAATTTTTTTATTCAAGGGGAAATCCCAAAACTTACAAGGAGGAAAAGGAATTGAGAGTCAAGTTAGTTTTCAAAACATTTGTAAAATATGGTGCTTTGTTTAAAAGTTAAAGTTTGATATCAAGTTTTTGATATCATAGCACAATCATGGGAACGGATATCAAGTTTTTGATGCTCATATATTTCATTGTATGATAAACAACTATGACAATATGGTGCGTTACTGAGAATACTGATTCTATGATGGAGAGGACTCAAAACATCTTGTAGTCATTGAAATATATTAAGTTGTTTAGTGATGCATTTTGTGTCAGTTGATGTTTCTTAGCATATAAAGTTTTTTTTGCATTCGACAATGTTGCACAAACATACACTTTTTAAGTACAAATTTTAAGTACACACCACTCCATCCATACATATAATTTTAAGTACAAATTATACTATAATATGCACTAAAATATATAATATAATACCTACCATAATATGTATGATTAGAACTATCAATAGGTCTAACTGGAATGAGTTCGGCCTATTCAACTTGAGAAAAGTATGATTGAATCAGTAAGACTTGATTTAAACATGAGTAGAGCCTGGGTGTCATTTGGCTCGATCCAGTTAGAATCTGATCCATTAAAGGTTACATTAAAAGTGTATGTTTTGTATGTAATAATGTGTATATTGTGTTTAATAGTGAGTTTGGGCCAATTGTGAAATAGGCCTGAAATGGACCAGTTCAAACATGCTACTGTGCACCTACTTTCCTCATTGTTTTATATGCTGAATAATGATAAAAGTAGTTATCTCTATCTAACATTTTGTATTTGTTTAAACTGTCACAACTAGCTCACCAGAGCTACAAATTGGACTAAGTTTAGCGCAACAGCACTACAACTTATTGACAGCGGCCATCTACAACAACGAAAATCACTAATGGCTCCTTGTCACAGAATGAGGCTGGTGGTGGTGGCAGCCCATATTCAGAAACATAAACATTGGTATTTGTCTTATTGCATTATGTAAAGAAGTACTTATTTTTATGTTTCCACTTTTCTACTTTTTTTTAAAAATCATCTCCTACAGGTTATTCAGCATAGTACCTACCTTAGCCTTGGTTTACATTTTGCTGCATCAGAATTAAGCAATGATGTTAGGCAAACAGCAGTTTTGGCATTTAGTTAGTTTCTCTTACGTTCAGGCTAGGCACGCACTTATGGTTTATGTTCTGGACTATAAAAATTTGACACCAAACCTTTACTTCTCCAAACAAGTTTTCATATTATGTCTTTGCTCTTAACTTTTTCTAGCCTTCTACAAGAATCAATGAATATGCACAGATTCAGTAATTCATCTAATTGAGTTGCTAACCTTAAAATACACATGTTATTGCTGAAGCCTTTAACATCAGATGTAATTGATTTTATTCATGAAGAAGCTTTTATAACAATGACCTGAGTGATTCCACTGTTAATGCATTCAGGTAATTGGAAAAAATTATTCTGGTTAAGCATGAGAATGCTATGAACGAGATGCATAAATTGCTTTGAAAGACAAAACATAACAAAGTAACTGCAGTTGTTGTTCTTACTATTTTTAGCCAATCTTGGTACTGGAATCTGCTCATATACTTCCTTAGCTTATGCTCTAGCACTTCAGCTATCATGAGAAACAAAAAGACAAAGCAGAGTTATATTCCATCATTTTTTATCTACTTCTGTAATCAAGAATGGAAAACACACCATTTTCATTTGACATTCAGTCACAATAGATCTATCATACATTCAAAGTTTTTCAATTATTACAGGCATTACTCACAGATTATTATGTGATTGGCAGATCCACGGTAGTGCCTAATTTTTATTTTAAACTTTTTTTATCATGACACAAACGTTATAAAGCTCACCATTAGTTTGCAAGTAATGTATTTTCCCTGTAATTAACTATTACCTTTGCTCTTCAGCTCCACTCACCCCAAAAAAAAAAAAAACCTATTATCTTTGGTTCAAGCTTCTCAGTTGAGAGTTGCAACTCACTGTTGTGAATTATTACCCCATGTTGTCTGTGGATCTATCAGCCATGTTCTTTTCTCTCACCTTTCTCACACTCCCCTCTTCTCATTTCTCCCTTGCCCAGTCTCCCCTGCACACACTACACACAGCGGACACCAGACATAGATGTGTGCAAAAAACGTATAGACATGGCTGTCGTGAACCAGAGTGGGATGGCTCCAATATTCACGTTCATGAGAAGTGACAGTATTGGTTAAGCGTCATTTGGGTTCGCCTCAGTTCAGCCAAAAAGATTAGAAAGATGGTCTGGTCACGGCTCAAATATGGCTTCATCTATTTCCAATCAGATTTCAATTTTCCGTATTTTCAAACCCTATTCCTTAGAAATCATCGATAAGATAACAAAATTGACCCCTCGGCCAAAGTATCGACCAAGAAATGAAAGGGATGAATTTCCCACCCCTCGGCTACCCGCCGCACAAAAAACACAGAATTTGAACAGAAAAAATTAATCAAATTAAATCATACTGAAAACATTACCACTGCCAAGATGCAATAAGCTGAGAGGGCGACAAGACACGAACCGAAGGGTACAGCGAAGCGAGAAGGAAGCCCTGCAGCAGCCGCAGACCTAAATCAGGACAGCGAAGGTTTAATCGACGACGCCATGGATAATATCCTCACCATTGTCACTCTATTTCTCTGTTCCCCGCTCGCTCTCTCGTACATATGACCGAATTTCTATATATGCAGAGCAAAGTAGCTCTGAACTCTGAAGTGAAGCGTAGTGAAACCAAGAAATTAGATACGCAAATTATTTGTGAACTGAGGAACCCACGACCCAGGACCGAAGACCGAAAAGCCTGTGTTCAATTGCCGAAAAGCCTGTGTCCAATTCGCAGCTGATTGGTTGTTTCGCAGCCAAAGCAATTGCTCATCCACAATCATTGTACCGTGCTTATACATTGCGTATTAAATATCTTCGCTTCCTTTTCTCTTCCAATTCTCTCCCTTCACTCATTCCTGCATACTAATTGCTTGTGACTATTTCAACTCCATACCTTCTGAATTTACAATTTACCTTTTCACTGAACCATGAACAGATAAATAAAAGAAATAAAAGAAAACAAAAAAATTACATCTTCACAATATTTCCTAACGCTAATTAACTTTGGAAGTATTGTATATAAACAACTTTATATAAAGTGGGAATGCTGCTTGGATTGTTGATGGTCTTTCGTCCTCTACCCCACTGCAAATCACGTGCCCCTGCAGATCCCATTACAAATATGGGTTGTTTCTTTTTGCTTCTCCATCATTCATGCACCACCTATCTTGTAGCGGTACACTGAACAGCAACCGAATCTCGAATTCTTGCAACTACGAAAACAGCCACCTTTACCTTCTATTCCATCATTTCTGCCAGAAGGAACAAGGTCAGTGACATATCCAATGTGCTTTTCTGTTGCCTCAAAATAAAGATGCTCTATAGCATGCTTTTTTGTTTACCACAACAACATTTTCTCTCTTCCAAACAGCAGTTGTAACCATTCCACAACTAGAACAGAAGCTACTATAAAATCAAAGATGCTTAAAATGGCAGATAACCACCCTTCGCATAACCATGTAAAATGGCAGCATCACATGGAGTTTCAAGATGCACATCTCATTTTGACCTCTATATGATCCCTCTTCAGTGAATATTTCAGTCAGACTTAAGCTATTAAGCAATATTCAAATTACCTGAAAAAATACACTATGTGGTTTGAAAATAAATTGCTCTATCAGAGTAGAGATATATTCCTAGGCAAAGCCAATTTCATCCTCTGGATTACAAAGAAGAGGAATTAGAACGAGGCAATGAATTCTAAACTACTAAATTCAGTCAACATCCTTCTTTCAGTAATGGAACACTTTGGTTTCTAGAATGTTAGATATCAAGCCGATGATACACAGAGAATTCCAATGGAATGAGTTTCTGAATCTGGTACAAGATACCTTAACTTAATGTTATGGTCAGAAAGGCCTGATTAAAGCACAACTCTCCTTCTATACAGCATTATTAGGACAGATATCCCATGTGCCTTGTATATTCTAACAAATCCACCCTGACTTGCAGAGCCTATAATCAGGGAGTTGTTACCACCTTTAAGCATCAAAGAGTATAATTTAAATAAAATAAAAAAAAAAGATGCTTGTTTCTTACCGGTTTCCATAGCAGAATTACATCCATTCAGGTAAAGACAGCCTCCACGAATTCAAAATGAATATATGATTAATTTATGCGTTTTACTAAAATACCGAGAGGAGTAGAAGATCCAACCCAGCAGAATAGTGAAAATTCCACTTTCAGTGCTAAACCGAATTTTAAGATCAACGTCAAACTTAGCAATAATCACACAATTAACCATTTCTTTTCTTGAAACTTGACATTCTTAATTACTCAAGCCCAGAATAGTGTACCAGCATAAGTTGGCACACAGCAAAAGATGAAGATAAGCAGATAGGAGTTTTCAATGACACACACGCAGGACCAGCAAAAGAAAGACCAAACAACAAAATAACACCATGAATTGAAGGTCATAAAATGAAAACTTTTACAAGCACACAGGAAAATTTTAGTCCACCAGTTTATTTATCTATCAAAAAGGTATTCAACACTCTAAAATTCTCAAAGGCATCAAGCTCTACATGTCGATTAGACCTTAGATTGAATGTAAAATACTTCCATAAAAGGACACAAACTGTTCAACAGTGTGAGCAAACCATAGTTAATAAAAAGAAACATGTATACCAATTAATAAGCTGTCTGGGGCAATATCTAGTAGTAAATTACAATCCACTCATTTAAAACAGCACCACGAACAAAATAATTTTTCATTGCAACTAGAATGAAAGTACATGAGAGCCAAATGGAACAAGCACATCAAGATCTGGGATACCCTGCCGCAAAACTAAACTAAAGCATAATAATGGGGAAAATATCAGACAATATCTCCATAGTTGCAAACCAAAACCTTAAGTTGACAGATAACCTAAAGGAGATAAAAAAGAAATAAACTGTCCAAGACAAGGGAGAAAAAGTCCTAGTCTAATCACTTGAAGATCCGTCATCATCTTCGCGCGCTGTCACAACCTTCTCTATAAACCTCTTCCTGACTCCATCAAGAACATCTTTCTTAGACTGTTCACCCCCACCCTGACCATCATTGAGAACTGGATCCGACTGACAGAGAACTAATGCAACACCTAAAGATTTGGAAATGCAGTTTATGAAATCAGTCAGAGAAAATAGCAGATTCAATTTACAAAAGATTAAAATAGGGAATCAAATAGTTATCATATTCTCAGTCCCTCCGCTAGTTAATCCTAATCTAAACAAAAACAATAAGAACCATGAATATTCCATAAAACACAGGTTTCAAGGCAATACAGACATCAACTTCCATTAGAAGATATCAAAAGAGTTGCAGAAGCCTAAACTTCCAACATACCTTCAGGTGTGCATTTCCGACCAAAGCTACGGAGACCCACATAGTTTGCTTTGACTGCACTGTTGTTGTACACCAAAAGAGTTGGAATATTTTGATCAGGATAGTTAGGAATGCAGTCAGTAGATATAATTTTCACAAACTTGGTTGCCGGATATCTTTGAGCCAGTTCTTCCAAACATTGCAAAAGAAGCTCGCAATCGGCGTGTCTATCAGAAAATGTGTAGTGTTAAACAATCTAGTACCTCCAACATAAAAGTTGCTAAATTTTGAACCAATATTTAAAAAATTTAACATCACCACAAAGATAATAGTGAAGAGGAAAACAGTGCTTAATAAGTTATAATTACCCGTCCTTGTAAAGAACCACCACAACCCAAACATCTGCTGGTGCTTGTGAAACTTCTCGCACAAAATCAGATCCAGAAATCGGCATCACTGACCCAAACCTCACAATTTTGGCAAATTCTCTCATCTCTGCCAACCTCTTCTTCCTTTGCAAAGCACCAAAACACGTATTAGCTTCCACATTTACTGAAACCACACTAATTCAAAAGCTCATTTTTCTCAAGATGCACCTAATTTTTCACCTCAATTACTGAAGAACTAAGTTCCACAACTGTTACCTAAATTCAAAATCTCTTTAGATGGGGAATAATTCCAATATAATCCTAATTACCAAGAAATTTAAAAAAGGAAATTAACTTTCAAGCCTTAGTTACTGAAATCCCAATATATGTATGAAGACAATTCAACGACCAAATACAGGAAAATCAAAAGGCCCACCACCCCAAAAAATGAAAAAAGTTAAGAGGTACCTGTACTCTTGGAGGAAGCGATCATCGTCAAGATCATCTTCAAGGTCTTCAAGTTCTTCTTCGGTCTTGTCATCGACCCAGGCCTTGTCTTTGGGCTTTGAGTCGGGGTCTTCGGCTGGGGTGAAAGAAGGGGGCTTGAAAGCAGGGGGTTTGGGAGGAAGGTTCCCTAATTTTCTCTGGATATCGTCCCATTGCGTCGAGGCACCTTCCAGATCCTTGTACACAAAATGGTAATCTGCCATTATTTTTGTTGAAAACAATGCCCTTGTTGACAATCCTTATACTCCAACAGATCTAGGAATCCTCAAACAAAGTGATATCTTCCACCATGCGCATTCGTTCTCCTATAAAAGCATGATTAACTGAGTCCATACTCCAAAAAACACAATACAAAAAACAAAAAACAATGAAACTATATAATAAGACACTTTTAAATTTTTCTCAATTTCAAGTCTATTATTTTTTGTTTTTACTTATAAATTATTTAATTAATCATTTTAAATTTATTTTATAGGTTTATGCAAAAAGAAAAAAAGAAAAAAAAAGAAAATAGATGTTCCAAATTGGAGAAAATAGTAGAGATTTTTCTTTTGTTTCAACCTCAATTATTAAATAATCAAAAAACAAACCTAACAATAAATCCTATCAAAAACTCCCAAAACCCAAATGAAGCCCAAAGAAAAATCCATGCGAAAAAAAAATTGAAGCCTAGAAGGTAGGCCTGAAGAACCAAAGGCCCATTGGCCCATTTCTTTTTCTCAAAAAAAAATTTTTTTGAATGATTTTCACTCGTGCGTGCAATGCAGGCGCGTGTTTCTTCTCCAAAATTTCACGGCAAGACTGGTACAAAAAGCTTCATGACTTCATTTTATTTTCCTTTCTTTTTTTTTCTTTCTTTTTCTCCAAAGTTTGGTTAGTACATATACAATTCATCGTCTTCCAAATTCTATTGAAAAATATTCATCAAAAGGGACTCCTCATCATTTCTAAAAAATTCATCCTACCTATCATTTCTAGATTAGGGTTTTTGTTTTCATATAAATAGGAAACAAGAGAGCTTTTAGGGTTGGAGGAGAGAGAAAAGAACAAGTTAGAAAGCAGGGTGAGGAAGAAAAGAGAGAGCACAAGGAAAGAAAATTTTTCTGATAAAAAGCAGAGACAGGGTTGACGATCCAACCCTGTTCATCCCCATTTTTCTACTTCGTTTTAGGTCCTTTGAAGGATATTTTTTTTTCTACGCTTTCTAGGATCATAGTAGAGCAATTTTTGTGTTGAGAGTTTTATAAAAAACAGTTCTAAGACCTTCAAATCAGAGTTTGAAATCGTTATCCTCGTAGCTCTCGATGCCAGTAGCAGTCATATGGATCTGCTGCACTTCGAATTTTGCGAGTTTTTTTCCAAGATTTTTCATGCTCAATCTGATTCTGTAAGCATCAGGGGTAATCTTATTCGCTCTTCTCATTGATTGCAGCTTGTATGAAGATCTAAGTCCATCATATAGGAATTCTAAGTTTTTTTTTTTTCTGACTAAGCTTGATAATTTGCGTTTGTCTCTTGTTGATGCTCACTTGATCATTTCCAAAGCTTATAATGGTCTCCAATGTTTTAAAACTTGGACCGTCAATTGAACCGGTGAAGTGAAAGGGTCGAGGTTCAACCGGTCGGATCGGTTCAACCCCGGTTCAATAAATAAATAAATAAATATATATATATATACACACACATATACACACACACCTATGCACATAATTAATACATAGCTAATTATGAATATTCAACAAATAAATTAATACATAGCCAAGGAGGATGGGAAATTTTGTATCAAATTTCTCAAATAACAAGAAGACATCCAATGGCACCTTAACAAAAGATAATCCTAGTTTTGTAATAATTGCCAAAACTAAAATATACACCTAGTGATGCACGGCTATGAAACATTAGTGCTACTAGTGATTCGGGACACATTATAGTGGATCAATTGTAAATCTAAAATGATTTGATGCATTGCAATAATTTTAGTAGAATCAATTATGCTTAAGACTATTCGTCCTTCTTTAATTCCATGATGATTTGAAGTCAACATCCGTGAACTTTTTCCACTTGTGACCATGAAACTTTCTATCTAAAATGGTACAAATCCTTTACTCGATCCATCACTGTAATAAAGAAACAAGTATGCAAAATTTATGAAGACTTGCAGCTTTATCATTGTGGAATTTCAGGAAACATACGTCTACTGGAGTTCATGTGCATATGAGGTTTTTTTTTTTACTTTCATTCACAAAAGCCTATTCAAAAACATTTTGTGCAGAAACTCGCACTTTCTCTTGGCTAGCAGTCTCCATAGTAAGATAATAGATTAACCTATTGATTCACCTTTGCTACAATCTTCGAGCCAGGCAACAAAGGCAACTAACGAGTAAAAAAACAAAACAAAACAAAAATTACAGGACAAACAGACTGATGAGCTTATCTAATTTGAGGACAAACCAAAAAAAATACCTTATCTAATTTGGGGACAAACCAGATCTTTTGCTTTTCAACTTTTTTTTACTTTACCAAGTTAGTCTATGAAATGGAGGAATAGCAAAAATATAATCTAATCATTTAGGCTGCTGCTGCAATGACAAGTCAATAAAGATCATATGCCCAACAAACAAATTGTATAATTAGAGGCTCCCCCAAGACATTGAACGTACGCATGCAAATTTCATTACCGAATATCAGGAAGTATCGTAAACCAATTCATAGTGAAAAAAGAAGATAGATCCTTTCAGTTTCTTCATAGTCCTGCTAATTTCGAACCAAAATGAAGCAACAAAAAATTTACCAATCAGCTGTGCAACTCTGCAGCAGGAAAATTACAAACATATACAAAAATTTATTCACACTATCTTATCATTCAAGCAACAACTTACAAAAATGAAATAGGATTTTACGGCATCATCATTCTTCTTCAAATATGACACTACTACAATTCCCTTCCAACAAAAGTTCCAACTGAACTAGTAACCAAAAGAAGATAACAGTACAGTTCAATCAGCTATTACAGAATCAGATCTACCACCTGCAACTGGACCAATCTACAACTACAAAACTCATAACTGCAGTGCAAGAATTATAACTAATAATCAAAACCCACAAAAATTCACAGAATATCAATCCAGAAATTCACATATTGCCTCCGATCTTCCTATAGCAAGGCAAAACATGAAACTGCAAGCATCAAAATTCAATCTTTTTCCCAAAAACAGCAACCACAGAGGGCCGAGGGGACGGTTCCTAAAACCCAGCAATCAACAAAGAAAGGTTAAAAAAAAAGGGAAAAAAGATAAACGAACCCGGTAATAGCTTGAATTCCAGGATGTACTGATGTCTTGCACCTCTTCTGTTTTCGTTCCGTTATTCTGTCTTTGGTTTGAAATCAAATTACTGACATGAAATTGATTAAGAGGAGACTCATGTGAGGGTTATTTTTTATGGAATTTGGAGGGGAACTTTCTGGTATTTTTCGTCCGCAAAGAAATGCAGAAATGGTAGCTGATGCTTAATCTATTTGGAGAAGATGGCTGCTTGTTTGGATTTATAATTTCAGTCCCTTTATTCTCCTTTTCCTTGTGATTTAACCCCATAATGTTAAAACTTCATAATTTGACCCCAAAATTTTTATTATTCTTTCAATTAGGTCCTTATTGTTATCGCATTTTGAACCCCTTAAGTTTCCCTTATTCTGACAGGACCCGAAAATCGAACAAGTTGAACTAACTTCACCCTTTTAGATTTTAATCATCTTTTCATATTGTTAAATAGTCTTTTGGGTGGATTAATTCTTGATTTTGGGTCATAATTGTGGTTTAATAATTTTAGTTGATTTTATCATGTTGGGTTCAATGAAATAAGTGATTTGGGTTAAGAGGCTATTTTTGTTTGGGTTTAAGGAAGTGGATTTAGTTTATTTTTGTTGGGTTTTTGGCTTGGGCTAGAGGGTCAAGGCCCATTAGTTTCATGGGTTAATTTTGGGTCAAAATAATAGACTAGCCCGCTCCATTTCTTTGGATTTTCCTTTGGGTTGGGGAAGTTTTTGGCCCAAACAAATAAACAAATAAAGAAAAGGGCCCAATGGCCTGTTAAGTCAAGAAGTAAGTGATAATGAAATTTCATTCCAGTCCCCTAAATTTTGGATGTTTTCCTTATGGCCCTACAAATTTTCAAAATCTTTCAATTGGGTCCTTAATTTAATTGTAAATAGGTCCCTAAACTTTGTTTTTCTTTAATTTTCCCCAAATTTTTGTGATAATTATAATTTGACCCCCATAACTTTATAATTTTTGTAATTAAGTCCATGCTTTTTTAAATTTCTTAAATGTAGGTTGTTTACATGATTTAATTGATTCAATTTCATGTTTTATTTTCATTTTTTATGATTATTTGTTAATTAAAGTAATACCTTGACATTTTCCTTGTTTTTTGAGGGTAAATAAGTAAATTTCTTTCATTAGGGCCCCAACCACAGGGAGGTACACTCTATCCCTTATTTTTGATTTATTTGATCCTATGTGCACTTATGTGTTTTATGTGTGTAGTTGTATGATTTTGAATGTTTTATTTCATTTTCATTCATTTATTTCTTTAGTTATTTGATTTTACTTTAATTTTGTGCGTTTATTCTAATGTAATTATTTAAAAGACATTTAAATGCCAAAGTTGTAATAGTTAGAGGGTTCAAGACCTATATGTAGATAGAATATGTAATAGTTAGGGGTTTGTTTATTTATTTATTTCTTCTCCTCTTAGATTGTAGTTAGAGCCCCAAGTGTAATAGTTAGAGGTTTATTTGCTTTATTTTGTTTTGTGTGATTTGCATGCCTATGTGCTATGTGTTACCGCTTTCTTAGGACCTTGCATCTAGATATCATGATTATGTGTTATGTGTTTATGTGATATTATGTGTTTACATGCTTTTGTTAAGTTTTACATGAATAATTTAGTTATAATTAATCTGTGACATGTTATCACAGTAGTCCAACGCTAGTTGTGATCCATTTCTCGATACCACACTAGTCCAACGCTAGTTGTAGTTCCCTTGTCCGATTTTTCACTAGTCCAATGCTAGTGAGAAAGTAGAAATATGGGCTAGTCCAATGCTAGACCCTTAGGAGCCCTCCGAGCATTAGATCATGATTGTGTGATAAAAACACTTCATCTCATGCATATTTTAGGGTCTTCTGTCATTTTTTGCATATTCCCCTTTATACTGATATCCCTCATCCCATAATTCCCCCTTATATATCCCCTATCCAGTATTCTCTCTTATATCCACCTCTCCTATTTCATATAATCCTATACATGAAACATGATATTAGATTTGCATTTCATATAGGGAAAATTAGAGATAAATTAGTACATTTGTTTGATTAGATTAGGGAAAACCCCTTTCTATATGGGATATGAACAAGTTTGGTTTTCTAACCTTAGCACGCTCGTATTCCCTCTATTAAAGGGAAAATTGAGTCACGAACATTAATCTCCCGTACCCAACATGACGCATTCCTTTAGGTCATGTATATTTTGTATTTATATAATTATTTTATTTCTTTTCTTTTCTTAGAGTCTCATTTTTTACATTATTCGTGACCTCTCCAAAGAGTCACTATTGGGCATCATAATTAATGTGATTTGCACCAATTGAGTTTTGAAAAGAAATTCCGACCCTCCGACACCCTCTTAGGTCTAGAGTTTGTATTCATATAGTACATTCAAATATGATAAATTTTTAGGTTAAAATAAGAAAATCTTTGATTAAATCACGCAACTAGTCTTGATTAGGTTGAAAAGGTGTCTTGGATTTTTTATCCTTGCCTTCCCTTTCTTCAAATGTAACTCCCGAACACCTTCTCTGATTTTCGTAGACTTAGGAGTCGTTTAAAAAAGGGTTTTCCATGATTTTATCAAAAATTCATTTTAGGTGACTTGGTATACCTTAATTCTATAGCAAGTGGCGACTCCGATTTTTATTCTAAAACCCTTTTTAAATTATCAATTATTTTGGGTCAATCGTCGCATTTTCAAGTCCCATTTAGACCCACATTCTTTATTTATTTTCTAAAAATCAAAAATTCATTTTCAATCAAAATTAATAAAAAACTTCATTTTTCTAAACTAAATTTATTTTTCTTATTTCAAAAATGGGGCGCGACAATAGTCATATAGCATTCTCGTGTGGCTCTTAGATCACTGTGGATCTCAGTAATGCCATGACTGGTCGGAAACTTCAAACTCAAATGATAGGTTGAACAGACCGCCTGCAGTGCATTTAAGGTAGGATGGCCAATGATCATGTTATACGAGGAGGCTGCTCTTACAACTGTGAGATTGATAGGTAGGTTGCAACATCTAGGAGCATCTTCTATAGTCAAAATAAGGGTGATCATCCCCTCGAGATAAACCAAGTCCGACCAAAGACGTCATGATAGGTGCCAATGTTTCGTCTCCTATCCCCATTCGCTTAAAAGTTTCGTAATAGAGAATGTCAACAGAACTCCCTGGGTTTCTGTACATCTTTTTAATGATGAAGTTATTTAATATCATCTCGGTGACAATCGCCTCGTGATTTTGGGAGGCCACAGGGACAAAGTCCTGTGGTCCATAAAAGATGACTTCAGTGAGGCGGGAATTTGGCTCCATAGAATCGAGTCTAGCCTATCGGAATGTCCGCTTCCTATAATGCTAGCTATCTCCTCTAGAAGGCCCCCCATTGACGGTATTAATCACTCTGGTTACATGTCGACCAAGATTTGGAGATCGATCTCAAGAAGATATGTCCTCTCGCCAATCATTGGGACGATTGTATGGTCGGCACTCTCATTGGTCATCTTGACGACTATTGTGTGCTCATCCCGATGATCTCCTCACCGATGATCTCTTCTATTATCTCGGGGATCAGTTCTCCCCCTCCTATCAACAAATTGTCTCAAGTATCTTTGCTTGAGTAAATTTTTAATCTCCTTCTTGAGATTGTTACAATTCTTGGTCTTATGACAGATATCTCTATGGAATGCGCAATAGAGATTCGAGTTTCTCTTCTCCTTTCTTCCTGACATCCTCGGAGGAAGACAACCCAAATTCTGTTGTTCCATGATAGATAAAATATGAGCACATGAGGCATTAAGGGGAGTAGGATTTTGATCAGCAATAGGGGGCTTTCCCTTCAAGATCCTCTCAAACATACTGCATGTTTCTCGACTTAGACTAGTCGAGGTGTTCACTGAACTTTTGTTTTGAGGCTGTCACCCCCTTCTCTCCTAGGTTGATAGGGAAGACTAAGTTTCCCTTTTCATCTTATTAGTCTTCTGTGAGGCCCCAATCAGTTCGTAAGGTGATATTAAGGTTTTAGGGCTAAGGAGAAACCCTAAACTCGGCGAAGATTGAAAACCCTAACTTTGCTTATGATAAAACCCTAGTTTATGCAGTATTCTAGTGTGTGTTTTAGCACAAGAAAAAAATAAGATTCGTTATAGTTTACAGAGGTTTAACAAGTTTGAAAATGATTAGTAAACTCTGGATTAGTAAACCTCTAGTGTTACAATATTAGAAAGCTTAAATAGAGTTTTATTTATCGCTCGTCTTTTCCACATTTTCTTTATTCGAAAAATTCCCCAGATAATTTTTATGAGTAAATATAGATTTTAGATTATTTTTCTAGTATCGGTTAGTTTTTGAGAAATTAAGAACGTATATCGGACGTGGGACCCACTAGTGCGGTAAGTTCGGAAAAATTCGGCCGATTTAGTTAAGTTTCGGATACTGGGTTTAATTTATCGGGTGCTAATAGATAATTAGAAGATACTTTATGGATTAGAGTGAGAGGGAACAAAGTGATAGACTTGCATTAATGGAGGTGACAAGTGTCACCCTTGGATTAGTCCTTAAGTAAGACTAATATTCCTTGTCTTACCATTTGGTTAAAATATCTCAAAAATTACCAAAAATTCACACTTTTCTTCTCCATCTCGGCCGGCCTTCTCTAGCAAAGGAAGAAAGAAAACTCTTCAAAGTTTTGGCTTCCATCTATCTCAAATCCTCCAAAACAATCACTTAAACTTGTTTCTACTCCATAAAACCTCTTCATTAGGTGTTAGTGAGTTGTTTGGTGAAGTGTTTGGGGAAGCTAAGGTGATAAGCAACTCTCCCTCTCTTGTTTTACTAGGTGAGTAATGAATGAACCTTCTCCTTCACCTAATGAAGCTTAATTTGTGCTTAGTGGTAGTTAAAATGTTGAATTTTGTGGTTTATTTCTTGATTTTGGATGAAGTGGTGAAGTTTTCCATTTATTGGTGATATTTCTGTTTATATATGAATTTGATGGTGTGGCCTTGTATGATGATTGGCAATGGCCTAAAATGAGGCTAGTAGGTGTAAATGATTGTTAATTGCAAGCACTTTTTGGTTTGAAGGGAAATTTGGAAGACTAGGGTTTCATACCCTTCAATTCTGTCCGGTTTTGTATTTCCTGGTTAGAGACCGAATTGG